CTGAAGATGTGGGTGACACAATTATTTTTAAGTAAATAAAACAATACAAGATCAGAATTCTGGACTAAAATGAGTAACATTATGATTTTTTTTTTTTTTAATTAAGAATTCTGTCTGGAAATGAGAAGCACCTGTCTTAATACCAGACCATGGTAGCTCCTGAGCAGAAAACAATACGAAGGGAACAGCTTGGCTTTGTGAAGAAAGAGAATTTAAAAAATTTTGTTTTTAACATGAAGCAGAAAGGAAGGTGTGGACGCTACAATCAGACAAATTTGGCATGAAAGTTACATTTCCATTTATTAATGAATAATGATGGTAAGCTTATATAGGTTATATGGCAATTAATTTACTTTCGAAATTAACCACATAGGGCTGTTTTGAGGAGTTGGGAGAGAAATAGAAATATAGAAATTCATACACATGATCTAGTAATTTTGATTGAATAAAATGATAGTCATTTTATAATTACTCCTATACTGTTAGTCACTCTCAATCTGAATCTACCTAAGCTTAAAGTTAGATAGATCTATGAAATGACAATACAGAGAGTTGTTAAGATTGTTCTTAGAGAGATTCGACAATTACCTACACATTAATAAAAAGCAGCCTTGAGCAAAGAGGAGCCTTTTAAACTCCATTTACCTTTCAATGAAGTTCAGAAACAATTACTTCTGAATTTATTTTTTATTTGGTCATAACTTTGTAACTTCTCAATTATGTTGTAATTATGTTAGCCTCTTTTTCTTTTTTCTCTGATGCTACTAGCAATAAAAACCTCTCCATCAAAAAAAAAAAAAAAAGGCAGAGAGAGGAAGATTCTGGGAAAATAAAGGAGTAGGAAACACAGGGAATCTTTCAGCACACCTAGACAATTACACTGGCAGGATCTGTCTGATGTAGCTATTTTGGAACTCTGGAGTGTATTGAAGGCTTTTAATTTCCCAGGGAAGGCCTGAACACTTAATTTTAGTCAATCTTAGCAATTACTACCCACCACCCACCCTTCCCCATCCTTGTGTCAGGCACCAGGCATGTGTTCTTTCAGGAGCTTACACACAGCTTATATGAGCCATGGTGGCTAACAAGGATCTTGTCCTCCAAATATTAGGATCTGTATTCTGATAGCTGATTGCGGCCTCTGATAATGGAGCCGCAGATTGGCTACCATTGTTGTTACAATGTTGTTACAATGGTAGCCAATCTTCTAACTCGGAGATTGGCTACCATTGTCATTGCATCTCTCCCTCCTAGTTGCAAGCCTTTTTCTCCTCTGCTTCAGGGACTTTTAGGTGATTTAAAAAGCCAGCACATTTTTCCACCCTTCATTTCTCTATTTTTCTCCTTTGAGAACAAGACATTAAAGACAAAGACATTCAAAAGCAACTGCATATATATGGGAGAAATTAGAAAGTCACCACACATGCCCAAAGTTAACAGGATTGGAAAAACCTAAAAAGACCTTAACTTTATACCTCAGGCTGATCCTGAGCACAAAGAAAGTTATAACAATAAAGCAAAACAAAACAAAACGTCAAACACTGAGAAAGGACAAGAATTTCTAGAGTTACTGATTTTCTAGAGTTTTGATTTCTAGAGTTACTACATTATTAGATTCCAATGCACAGTTTTCAACAAAGAAAAATTAAACAACATGAATGTCTCCCCCAAAATTCATGTGTTGAAAACTTAATCCCCACGGCAACTGTATTGAGATGTGCAGCCTTTTAGGAAGTCTCTGCCCTTATGAATAGATGAAGGCTGTTATAATAGGGCTTGACAATGGGAATTTGGCTTCTCTTGCACTTCCATATTCTGTCATGTGAGGAAACAGTGCTCCCTCCCTCTGGAGGACAGTGTTCAAGGTGCCATTGCGGAAGCAGAGAGCAGTTCTCACCAGATCCCAGCCCCTTCCTTTTGTACTTCCCAGCTTCTAGAACCGTGAGGAATAAACTGCTACTCTATAAATCACCTGGTCTCAGGTATTTTACTGTAGAAGTACAAAATGGACTAGGACAACATATAAAGAAATGGTAAAAGTACTGCCACTTAATGGAAAAATATAAACCAATAGAAATTATTTCTGAGAGAGACCGGGTGGCAGTTCTACAGATACTTTAAAATTATCTTAAAGATTCTTGAAGAACTAAACAAGTTATGGAGAAAGTCAAGAATACCATGTATAAATGAAATGGAAATATTTATAAAGAGATAAAAATCTTAAAAACTAACCAAACATATTCAAAAATGTGCAACATCTCTAATCATCTGGGAAATGCAAATCAAAACCACAATGAGATATCACTTAACTCCAGTGAGAATGGCCTTTATCAGAAAGTCCCAAAACAACAAATGTTGACATGGATGCTGAGAGATGGTAACACTCTTACACTGCTGGTGGGACTGCAAACTAGTACAACCTCTATAGAAATTAATATGGAGATGCCTCAAAGAACTAAAAGTAGAACTGCCATTAGATCCTGTAATTCCACTACTGGGTACTTATGCAAAGGGAAAAAAAGACATTCTATCAAAAAGACATCTGCACTCGGATGTTCATAACAGCACAATTCACAATTGCAAAGATGTAGAAAAACCCAACTGTCCATCAATACATGGGTGAATTAACAAAATGTGGTATATGTATACCATGGAGTACTACTCAGCCATAAGAAATTAATACTCCTTATACCATCTGGATGGAGCTGGAGCCCATTCTTCTAAGTGAAGCATCACAAGAATGGAAAAACAAGCACCACAGGCACTCACCATTACGTTGGTACTAACTGGTCAACACTTATGTGCACATATGGAAGTAACATTCATAGGGCATCAAGCAGGTAGGCGGGGGGAGGAAGAGATGGGTAAATTCACAACTACTGGGTATGGTGTGCGATGTCTGGGGGTTGGGCGCACTTGTGGCTCCAACTTGGGCAATGTAAAGGCAATATATGTAACCAAAACATTTGTACCCCCATAATATTCTGAAATTAATAAAAAAAAAAAAGAGTATATAAAAAGTAACCAAAAAGAAATTCTGAAGCTGAAAAGTAAAATAACTAAAATGTAAAACTCACTAGAGTTATTCAAAGGCAGATGTGAGCAGCTTCTAGTTAGAAGGATCAGTGAATGTGAAGACAGGACAATTGAAATTACTGAGTCTGAGGAACAAAAGGAAAATGAAGAAAAATGAGCAGAGCATAAGGGGTCTGTGAGACACTATCAATATACACATTGTGAAGAAGAAGGAAGAGAGGAAGAGGAGAGAGAATATTTAAAAAAATAATCACAGGAAATTTCTCAAATCTGATGAAAGACATGAATATAAACAGTCAAGAAGCTCAATGGACTAGGATAAATTTGAAGAGACTGCACTGAGACACATTATAATCAAACTTACAAAAGACAAAAAGAATTTTTAAGCATCAAGAAAGAAGAAAATTCATCACATACAAGAGATCCTCAATAAGGTTATTAGCAGATTTCTCATCAGAAATTTTGCAGGCCAGAAGGAAGTGGGATGATCTATCTAAAATACTAAATGAAAAATAAAAATCTGTCAACCAAGAGTCCTAAATCTGGCAAAATGATCCTACATAATTTAAGAGATCAATGTATTAAAAATAAACAAGTATTAGTTCATGTTTTTGGACACACAATTTACAAAAATGTAATTTTGTGGCATCGACAGCTGAAAGGGTTGGAGATGTGGCTGTAAAGGAGCAGTTTTTGTAAATGATTCAAATTAAGATGGCATAAATTCAAATTAGAGTGTTACAACTTTAGATTGTCAAACGTAATCCCCATGGAAACCATAAAGGAAAAAGCTACAGAATATACACAAAAGGAATAAGAAAATAATTAAAATACTTCACTGCAAAAGACCACCTAAACAAATAAACAAAAAAGACTGTTATTCAGAAAATGAGGGACAAATAGCTATAAGGCATATAGTAAACAAATCACAACATGACAGAAATACCTCCTTGTCAGTAATTACTTTAAACATAAATGGTTTAAACTCTAAAATAAAATGACAGTGACTAACAGAGTGGATTAAAAAACAAGATCCAACTTTGGGCTGAGTATCCCAAATCTAAAAATCCAAAATCTGAAACTTTGAGTGTCAACATGATGCTCAAAGAGAATGCTAATTGGAGCATTTTAGATTTTCATATTAGTGATGCTGAACCATTAATCACAATACAAATATTCCAAAATAAAAAAAATATATAAAATCTTAAATAATTCTGGTCCCAAGCATTTTGGATAAGGCATATTCAACCTGTGTATGCCATCCAAAAGATACTCACTTTAGATCCAAAGACACAAATAGATTGAAACTAAAAGAATGGAAAAAGATATTCCATGCATATAGTAACAGAAACAGAGAGCAAATGTGAATATATTAATACCTGACAAATATGCTTTAAATTCAAAAAGATTATAAGAGACAAAAAGGGACATTATATATTAATAAAAAGTTTTATGCATATATAACATTATCATTAAATATCAATAAAGCAAGATGTAACAAAAAATAAATTTAAAAGTCCATCTAAATGAAAACTCAGTAAATAACAGAAGGAAATGCTAAGCTAGAGTGATGTTGGTTTAAGAAAGGATACCTGACCCTCCAACGTGAATTTGGAGGACTTGATTTCTCTGTTCAGGGTCTGAGATTAAACTGGTGCCTGAGACCAGGGTGTGGTTGTGTGCCTGAAGCTGAGGTTGTGGACAACTCCATAAGGGGCATTATAGCATAGTTGACAAATATGTGAAGTGGCCAAAAACCAAGACCCTCCTCCAAAAAGTCTGAAGGCAACCTCACATACCTCTCAAAATCAAATCTACAGGCTTGAGCTCTGTCATAGCAGGGAGAGGGAAGGGGGGCAAGGGCAAGATATGTAACCCTAACAATATTTGTACCCCCATAATATGAGGTAATAAAAAAAAATAATAATGAATTTTTTTCCTTAAATTAGGAAAAAAAAAAAGTGTGCAAGCAGGAAGCAAGAGCCCTCTGAAAGGCCTCCTGGCCAAAGCCATCTCTTCCAAGGAGCTTAGCACAAAAGCTCTTCTAGAAAGAAGAAAACTTAGCTCCTGACAAAGCAAGATTTCATCATTTCCCATTTGGTGAGCTCCTTTGGGTTTAGCTCCCTCTGTAAGAAATACCCAGGGGGAGGAACCACAAATCCTAGAATAAATTTACTTGTTGCTACATCCGAATGACTTGGTGAAAGAATTAAATTTGCTCTTTTGTCTTATTAATTAATTCTAGGTTTCCAGATATCTAAACCTCCTTAAGCCTTCTTTTTCCTTCTCCCGGGCAAGAGCTCATTGTTCTCCTTTACATGGATGTTCTTCTCCTACTAGTCAAGATGGAAGAAGAAAAATCGTGTGTTGAGTTCTACAGGAGTCTGCTGCCAGTGAGTTCCTATGACTATCTTTTTTTCAGACAGAAGACTTTTGTGGCCCCTCACTCATGGTCTTTTCTATAGCTGTAGCAGCATGTTTTCAGCAAGTTAGGTTGGTTTGGGGTGTGTGTGCATGTGTGTGTGTGTGTGTGTATGTGTAAAGAAAGAGAGTATTTTTCCCGGAAAGAAATGATAAGTACTGTCTTTTTTATAGTAGAACTTAAGAGTAACTTAAGTATTTGACTTTCACCTTTTTTCTTAGTGTAGATTCAACAGTTTACACATTATGTTCATACTTTATTAAAACAGGTACTACTGTGAAAAAAAAATCAAATCTACAAGCTACATGACCAAGTGTTGCCACTTGTAGCGATTTATCCAAGGTACACTCAAACACATGCAAGAGGATAAAAATGTTGATGTTTATTGCAACACTGTGTTATGATAGAAGATTGAAACACATACAGGGGCCTGGTTTAATAAGCAGTAGCTCATCCATGCTGTGAAAAACGATGCAGACAGCTAAAATAAGCAAGACATTTACTGTGTGAATGTGTTCTTCATTTTTTTAGTGTTAAAAAAGAACAAGATAGTACCAAATGTGTGGATGTGTAACAATCTCCAAGATATACTGTTAAGTGAGCAAAGTAAGATGCAGATCAGTGCTAAAACTGTGTAAAAAGGCAGATGTATTTACACTGAGGCTCATTTATCAATAAAATAGATCTGGATGTTTCCCAGGAATCCTGACAGTGATCACATCTGGGAATGGGAATTGGGTGCTTTTTGAATTTTTAAAAATGCAAATAAATGAACAAACTTCCAAGCATGGAGAGAAGTTAGGAAAGCTGGATCCTCAGGGAATCTATTGAGTGCAGGATGGCACCTTGAAAGCAATCAGTGGTACCTATAAATAGAAAGCCAAATAGACCAGATCTGTGGGACGTGGACTTGGGAAGGAAAGAAAATAGACTGTTAAGTCAGTCTAGGACCAGCCAGGAATCCCCAGGTTTAAGAAATATCTGTATTTGCGATAGCATTTTCTGTCAAAGTTTGTCAAAACTATACAGTCATTACATGGAATTCTCATTTCAAAATGGGCTAGCAAGGTGTGAGAAAATACCTTTTGTAACTGGTTCCCGCCCTACTTCCATATGTCAAAATCAAACAAACTCAGGCTAGAAAAAGTTGTCCTGCTGCTGATAGTGACAGCAGGTGTGTACAGAAATTTTGTTTATCATGGGACTTCATTATTATTAGTCATATTCACAATTAGGAAAAGCTTTTTCCAAAAGATTATGATTTCTTCAAGGGCATTTTTTGTTTTTAAATTTATTCTCAACTGACTTTTGTTCCAATATCATTGTAGAAATTGATAACTATTTTGTATAAATAGTCATTCGATTCTGCTTCAGCTTCACTTATTTTCCATTATTTTAATGATTTATATTTATCAAACAGCCTGCAAGAGGAGACCACCTACATAGCTTAACTGCCAATTCAATATACTTTAAATACTTTAAGCTATGTAAGTGGGCTATTACCATCTTATTAAGTTTCATAGATTTTAAAAATCATGCACTATGTAAAGACATAATCTGAGGTATCTAAAGGAGCTTTGAAGACTCGACAATCAAAATAATATTTTTAAATACTGTCTTGAATAAATACATTAAATCAGTTTGTTATTTGTTTATATGGAAAGGATAAAATATTAATAGCAGTTCTCATGGTATCATATCGAGATAGATATCTAATACAATACTGTGAGAACTGCTATTAATATTTTATCCTTTCCATATAAACAAATAACAAATTGATCTATCTAGCTTTATCTATAGATAGAGATATATGTTTATGTGAAATGGCACAAATAGCCTTTGCTTTAAATGTTATCTCTAGAAGTTTTCTGCATCCTTTGCTACCAGAATGTCTAAGGAAATAGATTTTAGGTACTCACGTAGTCCACAGTGGGAAGCAAAGTGTGCAGTTGAAGCTACATTATTTCAACTTCTAGGTCACACACATGCTCAAATAATGCTTTATGTCCAATATAAGTACAATAAATACAATGGATTATATATTTTTAAAAAGCTTTATGTAAGTTACTGTTAAAGAATAAGTACAGGTTGTCTAACAAGGATTATAAGCCTAAGAAATTTTCCAAGTTTATTCAGTGAGAAAACCAGGTCTTTTCCTACTAATTTTTTTTTTTTTTTGGCAGGATGATAGCTAAGAAACTTAACATGTGTTAACCATGTAGATATAATCATGACGTTTAAAAAGTTTAGAATATCCCAATATTTTCTTAAAATGTCATTTTGGCCAGAAGATGGCAGATGTGTAGGTTCACTTCTATGACCTTCCATCACGGTTAGAATACAGAAAAAACTTCCTATCGTCCTAATACCTGCATTTGTAGTATCAAAGTCAATATAAAATGAGTCTGTGAGGCTGTAACTTAAGATATTAACTTTGATTCATTTGCTTTCCAGGTCATTTTAAAGGTCTGGCTGAGAGAAACAAAGTAAAATATCCAAAAAAAAAAAAAATGCTTTCCATCTAACCCTTTAGCTATTTTAATTACTCTATTTGAATCAAGCTACATTTAAGCATTATATATCTAGATTTCAGGAGATGATCCTCATGTAGAAATGCTTTTATTAAATTAAAGTTTAATGTAGAGCCCTCCTTTTGTTAAATTTAGCATTGTTATAAGTAATGACTTTATGAAAAAATAGTTTCAAAACTTCTATAAGTGGTGAGGGAAAACTTAATTATTTTAGTAAACTAGTACATTGTCAAGGGTGTAATGAATGTGTAACTATATTCATTTATTGATTTTATATTTATCATCCATATAGCTAGATGATTTAGAATTACATTACTTGAAAAGGATTTCTTTCTTTGGAACAATTAGTAGATACTGAGGGATAGTGTGTTGATTGCACTTGCTACTTTCTCTAGATTTCTAACTTGCAAGCTTTAACACATATGATTACAAAATTTATTACTATAACGTATTTTAAGTGGTTTTGGTAATATAAAAGTACACATTATATTTACCCAGATTTTCTAATATCAATGGATCATCAATCCATCTTTAGTATTTAGGATAATGTTGCAAATAAGTAATTGTACACGTATGTTTGTTTAAGCACTGGTGGTTTTACAGCTGCTTGATGGATTTTCAGCAAAAGGTTGTCAGGTCAAAGACCATTTATACTTTAATTTTAGTAGATGTTGACTGAATGCTTTTAAAAATGATGTAAAAATTCATATTTCTACCAGCAATATATGCATTTTCAAGTATTCCAGCCAGCAACTGATGTTGCTAGTTTGTTTTTGTTTGTTTTTAGGTTTAATGGCTATAAAGCAGTAATTCTGTAAGTATATTTTGTTAAGTATATTTTAAGTTAAGTATATTTTTAAAACTAGTAAGTTTTAAAGTATATTTTAAAACTAGTAAGTTTGAATATCTGTATTCATTTTCCATTTGAATGTGTTTCCTTTGATTTGTTTTTTGATATGATTTGCACCAAATGCTCTGTTTCCTTGGCATCTTCTGAATTAATATTATACCTTGATAATTACATTTAAAAATCTACAAAATCTACCTCAGTAAAGGCATTAAGTTAATAGGAAAAGACATGCAATTATATTTTATTCATGAGTCATCTGAAAATATTTTACAGATTTCTATGAGAAAATACAAGATAATTTATTTGTAAGAGATTTTTGCATATTATAGATATTGACCCTTTGCCTCTGTGGTTCAAAAGCTTTTTGTGCAAGCCCTCTATTCTCAGAAATAGATGTGAAATAGCACTGCTAAATCTTGAAGTTTTCTTGTTTATGTATGAATCTTGCACTCTACATGTACCCAAAAGGAAGTACTCCTATATGGTATGAAATTCCAAAGGAGCACAGAGTAAGAGAATATCGACTATCGAAAAATAGCCCTATGCTTTTCCCTCCTGTTTGGAAATATTATTACTAAGAAGGAATGAAATGGTAGCAATTCAGGGATTATGTCAAATTTCTTGTTTGTTTTCAAGGAGATGGCTGTTCAACAAGCAGGCACGGAACCTTCAAAGAAGAGGCCAATAGTCATCTGTGCTATGAAACCAAATGGGATTCACAGAGACTCAGAAGATGAGTTACTGTCTTATCTGGTCTGACCTCTGCTGCTTTATCTTTCAGTCTAACTTCCTACCATACTTCTTTGGGCTTCTTTCCAAAGAAGGTACTGCTAGACTGGTGGAAACAAAGCAAAGCTAATTAGATTGACAGAATGACTCTACTACAGCATGTGTCTTTGTACCTTACTAATATTTGCATAAACACAAAATTGATTCTACTAATACAATGGGTTTGTGGCAATGAAATGCATTACTTCAGTGTAAGTACTATTTTAAATGCAGTTAAACAATCTACACAAAGAAAAAATAGCAGGTTATTAAATGATTTAGTGTAAGTTTTTTTTGTTTTTAATTGCATACATACATCCCTAAATAGGTATAACTCCTAAATATGTATACGTATATGCAAACACACAAAAATGTGTGTGTACAAAATACCACAAGAGATTGTGAAAACAAGCCCATGAACTAGGTAAAGAAGAAATTAAAAGCCTAATTTTACAAGGAAAGGCAGATATTAAAGTTTAGAGAGGTGACCAGTCTGTCTAGGTCAAAGAGCAAATGAGTAGTACCCTAGGTCAATGCCCCAGACTTCTGATAACTGATTCCGTGTTCTATCCATTAAAGATCACAAAGTTATAGTAGAAATATGGATTTGGAAAATATTTCTTAAATCACAAGTGAAGTAATGCTTCTTTTTTTTCTGTTTAAGAGAAACACTTTATAAAATTGATACTTGTTATTCATCTACCCAGAGTAGATAGATAGGCATTTCTCACTGCAATGATTCAGTGCTGGTACTTTAATTCTTCAGGTTATTTGTGAAGAAATGTGATTATATTTGCTTTATTCACAAAGAATGACACAATTTGGTTACTGTTCTCTCAACAATTTATATTTCTGCCTCACTCTCGAGATTACCTTTATTTATTTTGTTTAATCTGGCTCTTTACTCATCTAAAAATGATATAGATAAGAAAAAAGAAATACCACCAAGCAAATAATCGAAATGTCTTTGAAAATAGAAAAACCTTTCTTTGTGTGTAGCTTGTTATCCTTCAGCTCCACTACCATCAACTAAATTCGGGTTCTGGAATTGGACGGCCATAGCTAAATTCCTGATTTCACCATTTGTTTGTTATGTGACATTGGGTAAGTTACTCTAATTTTTGTCTTCATCGTTGGTAAAAGTTCACAGGATATAGTATGTAAAGGATTCAAATAGGTGCATTGAATTACCCAATTAGTTGCTTTATTATTCCCAGATCCAGTTACTATACTACTCTAATTATTATTACTGTTGCAAAAATCCATGCTGCTTTCATCTTGTTTAAACTGTGGAAACTGACTAATATATCAGGATGAATAAAATATATCCATATTCCTTATTGTGTAAACTTTCCCTCTCATTTAAAAGTTTATTAAATGGATAAATATTAATGATAGTCACTCCTAGTTAATATTAAGAAAAATTATTGCGGTGCTCATGTCTTTACTCTTGTGACCCCTAAGGCCAATTATTAGTCTTTTAAAATTATCCTTTGGGTATATTAAGAGCCTGAAATATTCCAGACTTTAGCTTAACATTAGAATTTTATCATCAATAGTTTTTGTCTAAGCCCTTATTATGCCAGTAATGGATCATTAAGCATGGGATGAACTTATAGAGAGTTATAAGGAAGCCCATTATTTGATCTTCCTATGACCCATAGAGCAGTGTATACTTGAAATTCATTTAGAGAGTTTGGAATGCATAATTACTATTATATTGAGAATCTCTGCTCAGTATAAGCTTATTTCACAAATGATTCTATTTTAGACTGCCAGTAAATTACAGAAATGCAGAAAAGTTCCATCATAAGTGGGGTTTCTGGAAGCCATGCCTATCACAAGAATGAAGGAGAGTGTATAATCATGCTCTTCAGTGGGGTATCACTTACTAAATAATTACGCACAATTGTACATATGAAATCATTATAAGCCCTCTCTGGTGTTATAGCCCATCCATGAGAACATAGACTCTCTATCATCAAGTAACACAGATTACACTTTAGTTGCAATTATATTTAAGGTCCTCCATTTGAAACATCTTTTAAACAAAAATACATTATTTGATGGTTGAATGCTGTATCTTTCCCTAAATTAGAAGAGGTTTTTTTTTTGTTGCAATTGATAGCAAATTGAGGAGAAAACAGGGAAATATATTTTTAAATGTCTGAGGAAAAGGGATGGAAGGAGGGAAATTTGAATGTTTAGTTGCTATTGGCATTATACATATATATTTTAAAATCTTGTGTGATGCCTACTTCATACATAAAATGGTATAATGACTGCTTTCTGTCTTTCTGACTAAGTCATTTTGGCAGTTATCTTAATTATTTGGAAGGAAATTAATATTCATGAAAATATAATGAAATCTCTTTAATAGCTACACAATACCTGGCATTATACCATTAGGAAGTTTTTATTTGAGTGATCTTTCAGTCAGGGTTCAGTGAACAACAGAAGTTTTACTAATAAAAATTTATTTTGAGATGGGAGTTTATATAAAAATTAGTTTACTCTCACAGAGCAAGATGGGAGCTTACTGTTTATTATAAAAATTAACACATACATGTTGCTTGCTAAAAGTTTGATTTAGATGAATTGAATAGAGAAAAATTGATACATGTTACTTTAAGATATTTTAAGATTCCTGAGGAGTTGAGCTTTTTTTCTGGAGAATATGTATGGTTTAAATAAAATTTGGATACCTTCTCAAAATACACCTAAATACCTTTCACTGAACACCACCATACATCTGAAAATGGCCTCAGAGGAACTAGAATTGGTGATTTTCCACAAAAAGCTGAAATCTCACTAATCTTAGTAGTGAATCAAGTTCACAGGGGGAATCTGAATTCTAAGTGCCAATACTAATTATAGAGGAGCAGGAGTGGGGTCATATATGGAAAGCAGAGCCAAGAATTAAAAGTCATCAGAGATAAAATACAATTGGTAGAATGTCAGAAGAGAGTAGGAAAAGAAATAGGCAATTTGCCACAAATTGTGCTTATAATGTGGTTTGGAGATTAAGCTGAGTCAAGATATATGATTTGTTTATTCTGGTTTAGAGAGTTGGAGAGCTGGAGCATTATTTTTCAGCGTTTCACATTTAATTTTTTTCCAGATATATTTCAATAAATAGGTATTGAAAAGGGTGATCTAGAAGCTAAGTAAAAATAATTTTGAGGTGAATATATATGTTATATATATATGCTTTTGATATATATGTATGTGTTACATATATGTCCTTTTGATATCAAACTGGGATTTAAATATAAAATTAAATGGTAAAAATTAGCTCATTTCAACTCTCACTTTACTTCTCAATGATCTCTAAGATTGTTGAGGCTTCTGCTTTCCCCTACTTTCCAGCATTCCTTGCAGCTCACTGGGATCATGTGACTGAATTCTGGCCAATAGGATTAGAATGGAAAAATGATATATACAATTCTTAGCCTTGGCATTTAAAAACATAACATCTTCCCCTCTTCTTGTACCACACAACTTTGGAAGCTAACTGTACCAGTGTCATAGCTATAGAATGGAGGAGATTGGGTTCATCCATAGCAGACTTAGCATGAATGAGAAATAAACCTTTCCTTTGTGAGTACAGGAACATGATTTTTAGGTGTGAATCCTACCATTCAAGTAAAGAAAATGAAAAAGTCATAAAATAAATGGTGTTTCAAAATTGAAAGGAAAAAAAATAGTTGTAATTGAAGCTAAACATTTTTAAATTTAATTTTGGATAATTACTAAAAATAAAAGAAAACTGTTAGTATCATGATGACATAGAAAGTGTAACAGTTTTGTAAAAATGAAAATCATACATGCATGCACAGAAAATTTAATTTGTTACATTTAGAGCACCACAACTTAGTCTTAGACTACAGCATTTAAATACTCAAGGGTGAAAAAATTAACTTTGGACTTCAATTAAAAATCATCAAAAGAGTAGTTAAAAAAATTTAGAAAGACTAGTCATCTCTCTTCACAAGTTATCTGTTTTATTATATCCAAAGTTGCATTTATTTTTTTTAACTTGTCTAACTATATAATGGAAACAAATTGGAAAAAGAGATGCAACATATAAAAAGCTATTTTATTGGATTTTTTTAAAGGAAATATATCTATCAAAGGATCTCATTATAATCTCATTACATCTACATTATAATCTACAAAAGAGTGTCAAATCTTTTCTAACACACTTGGGATTATATCAAACAAAAAGCATTTTTTATTTATTTCATGAAGTCTGTAACATTTAAGTAACAATATTTTCATATATTATTAATAAGAACTATTTTAGCAACTAAATTTTGAAAATTTACTCTGAGAGTTTACTAGACTGACACAGAAGTTTAAAAGAGTCTGGTTCAGTGCCTCTGCAGAATTTGTAAATGGTGGGATAAATTCATGTGTCCTTGTAAGCATATTATCATCAACAATAGCTGGTTGTCTCTGAGCTATAGGGAACTGTTCTAGGTTTCTATACATAAGGCATGGCCTTCTGTCTTCTCTGTTTACAAGCTAGACACATCCAATAAAGAATAATATAAAGTAGCACATGCTTCAGATCAAGAGGTAGAGCTAATAAAGTTCTTTTCTGAATAAGACACTGAAGGTTGCAAAACAGACATATTGCCTAAGCAATAAATGATACACATATGATAAACTCTTTAATTAAGAGATATAAAATACCATTCCAGACTGGGAGAATTATATGCAAGAAAAATAGCACTTATTCACATGATGAAGAAAGATTTATTGATCACTTATGTGTCAGGTGTTGTACCTGTATCTGTATCTGCATAAATACATGCACAAGGATACTTTGATAAAGCGAATAAGGAGACATCTAATTAATTTTACCTTAAAATAAGCACTTTTGTAAGAGCAAACAAAAACCACCATGAAAATGAAGACAATATCTTTTCTTTAGTCCAGTTTAGATTTTACACCTGAATGAGA